GGTTTCAATTTCTGGTCGGGGCACATATCCAGGTTGTGGGCTCGATCCCCAGTGGGGGGTGTGCAGGAGGCAGCCGATCAATGATTCTTTCTCATCATTGATGTTTCTCTCTCTCCCTCTCCCTTCCTCTCTGAAGTCAACTAAAAGAGAGAGAGAGAGAGAGAGAGAGAGAGAGATACAGGAGGAGCCGTGGCCAGTGCGGGTCCATTGGTTGGGCGTGTGTGTCTCATGCACCGAAAGGTTGCTAGTCGGATTCCTGGTCAGGGCACATGCCAGGCTTGCAGACTGGATCCCCAGTGGGGGGCGCACCTCAGCTAATTGATGCTGATGTAGCCCTCACATCGATGTCTCTCCTTCCTCTCTTCTATCTCTAAAAATCAATTTAAAAATCTTAAGGGGGAAAAAAGAGCGAGATACAGGAGGAGAGTTCTGTTCCTGTGTCTGCCCTTCACCGGTGAACCTGGAGCCCGCGGCCCTCTCTGCCCACCCGGGAGCTGCCCAGTGGGCATTCTTGCCTGAGATGGAGGACTCCTGGCTGCAAAAGCCAGCTGAGCCGGAGTTCCGAGGTTCAGGTGAAATCACCCTTACAGATGAGTTAGACGGCCCTCTGAATTTCTGACATAAACCTGGAACTCGCTGGTTTAGACCAGCCATCAGGGTCAAGGCGAGGAGACTCTTTCTGGAGAAATGTTTGGGGATCCCCAATAAAGGGCAGAATGGCCTTGGCCGGTGCCGCTCAGCGGTTAGAGCGCCGGCCTGCACAACAAAGGGTCTAGGGCAGCAGTTCTCAACCTGTGGGTCGAGACCCCTTTGTGGGTCGAACAACCCTTTCACAGGGTTGCCTAAGACCATCGGAAAACACACATAATTACATATTGTTTTTGTGATGAATCACTATGCTTTCATTATGTTCAATTTGTAACAATGAAAATACATCCTGCATATCAGATATTTATTTTTATTTTTTATTTTATTTTATTTTTTTAAATATATTTTTTTTATTGATTTTTTATAGAGAGGAAGGGAGAGGAATAGAGAGTTAGAAACATCGATGAGAGAGAAACATCGATCAGCTGCCTCTTGCACACTCCCCACTGGGGATGCGCCCGCAACCAAGGTACATGCCCTTGACCGGAATCGAACCTGGGACCCTTCAGTCCGTAGGCCGACGCTCTATCCACTGAGCCAAACCGGTCAGGGCCATATCAGATATTTAGATTATGATTCATAACAGTAGCAAAATTACAGTTATGAAGTAGCAACGAAAATAATTTTATGGTTGGGGGTCACCACAACATGAGGAACTATGTTAAAGGGCTGCGGCATTAGGAAGGTTGAGAACCACCGGTCTAGGGTTTGATTCCTGGTGAAGGGTACGTGCCTGGGTTGCAGATCCAATCCCATCCTAGTTGGGGCGCGTGCTGGAGGCAACCAATCAGTGTGTGTCTCTCTCACATCGGTATTTCTCTCCCCCCCCTTCCCTCTCTCTCCCTTCCACTCTCTCTAAAAATCAATGGAAAGAATATCCTAGGGTGAGAATTTAAAAAAAAGGCCCCTCAAAGGTGTCCACGTCTCAATTCCCAGACCCCATGACTATGTAATTCCCACAGCAAGTGGGGCTTTGCAGATGTGACTCCAGAGGTGCAGAGGGGAAGATCTCCCACTCTCACCACATGGGCTGTGAGGAGCAGGGACCCTGGCCCGGCTGCGGGCAGAGCTGTGCTGAGGGAGGTCGGAGCTCGGAGGGGGAGGGAGAGGGCCCTGGCCTACAGGACGGAGGCCTGAGGAGCGGAAAGGCCAGGAAGCACCAGCTCCGTCCTCCCAGAAAGGAGGGCAGCCCGGGAACAGTTTGATTTTAGCCTGGGGAGACCCATGTCACACGTGTGACCCCCAGGATGGCAACAAATGTGTCAAGCCACTAAGTTTGTGTGGTTTGTACAGCAGCTGTGGAAAACTGATAGGCCCGTTGAGACACAGAAACCAACGTATGTCCGGAGGAGATGTGGCTCAGTCCCGCTCGCCCAGCCCCCACAGTGACGTCCTCAGATAAGGCCAGGCTGACGGGTGGTGTCTGAGGGGGTTTGGGGCGCTGAGAGCCGCTTCCTGAGCCACAGGTGGCCCTATCTAGCTGTGTCCTCTCAGGGCAGGCGGGCTGCGGACACGGCCGAGACAGCTCTGTGAGTCTCTAGTAAGGGCACCAATCCCATCCACGAGGGCCCCATCCTCCTATCACCTCCTGACAACACCTGGAGCCCAGGTTGCAGCATATTAATTTTGAGGGGACACAGACGTTCTGTCTATAGTAGTTAGGGCTCCAGTTTCTTCTCATCCCTACAAGCCCGGCTGACCAGGGGTGGTGTGCAGGTGGGACCGGGCCTGGGTGTCACCGTGTATCGCTGTGTACTGAGACTGGCCCAAAGCAGGAGCAAGGGAACTGGGATGGTCACTCAGGTGTCTGGAGGCACCATTCCCACAGTGTTATCACGCATGTCTCGCTGGGGCGGCACCAGGAACACAGATGCAGGCTCACCCCCACCCTGAGACTATCTCCCACCCTCCTGGTTAGTCCCAGACACAGCATGGCAGGAGCAGGAGGGACACGAGACGGCAGACTTTTTAAAATAACTGCATCCTTTAATGGCAGTAATACAATTATTGGATTAAGAGACCACAGGAGAAAGGGCAGGTGACGTTTCTGGAAGACAGATACAGAGTACAAAAAGGGGGTGGCATAGAGGCATGCGACGATCATTGTAAAAATACAGTACGTTATATACATATTTGCACCATCAACTTTCTGAAATATTATTTACACTTTTGTTACAATCCTGGTTAGAGAACAATTTTTTTTTTTAAAAGCTTGGCCTGATGGCAAATGAAAATTTGGGGTAAATTCATAGTCCCATGAGGTTCTTAGGCTGAATATCCAAGGAGGGCTCCAGCTTCTAATTCATCCACAAATTTGTTTTAAAAAATTATTTAATTTGCTTTTACAAAAGAAAATCCTCAGAGAAGGAAACAAACCCGCAGCCGCGCTGTGTCTTCTTACTTATTGGATGACACCGCGGCTGCGGCCCTCCGCTCAAGGCCAACACCGGCGGCTGAGGGGAAATATCACTAATGTTTAAAAAAACGAAACAAAAAGACAAACCAAACCAACCTGATCACGGCGCACTGGCCCTGTGGGGCTGCTTCTCTGGCCTTCGCTTCCGGCCCCAAACACAACTATTTTTTTCCGGGGAGAGGGGTTTGGTATAGCAGCCTTGTTCACCTCCCACCCCACGGTGCGGGGAGGGGGAACCCTTTGGCTGGGTCACCAGGTTTCCTCATTATTAGCAAGGGGGGGACAGGGGCCTTAAGCGAGGTGGCTGAGGTGGTGGGATGAGGAGGCAGAAGCTGGCAAGGACGAACACAGGTGGGAGGGGCCCCTGCGGCACAGGCCTTGCCCAGCTTCCCCAGGCCATGTCCACGGGGGCTCGTCTGGCGCTGTGGGCAGGGCTGGACCGGAGCCAGGTGCTGGGAGAAGCCGGTGCAGATGTCTGCTCCCTTCCCGGCTCAGCTGATCAGGGGAGCAGGACGCAGGTCTCGGGTTCCACACCCTCACTGGCGGGGGCGGTCCTGGTGCCTCTCCCAGGGGAAGCCCAGCAGCCCCCCCCCACCCCCACCCTGGGCCATGGCTACTCTCCAGCCTGCCCTCAGGCCCTTTTTAGGGGAGTGCCCACCAACCCCACACTCACATGCCTCTGAACCTGTGCACCTGTCGCTTAGAAGAAACCCAAACACACTGAGACCACGGGCCCCACAGATACGGCGCAGAGAGGGGCAAAGGGAGCGGAGACAGAAACACGGCCCAGAACCAGCCAGGCCCCCTCCTCAGGGGCCTGGTGGGCAGCCATGCCACGGATCCTTGAGCCGTCCCCAGGGGCACCAGGGCCAGCACTGGGCACTCTGGCTTCTGAGGAGCAGGACAGCCCCTGGCACGAGGGGAGAAGGGCATGGCCAACAGGACAGGACAGGACAGGAGGGGCTAATACTGACGGAAAACGCCATCTGCAGCGCTGCCTCCCGGAAGCGGCACAGGGCCCGGCCCCAGCCTCTCACCCTGGCGTCTGCGGTCGAGGGCCTGAGGTGCGGGCTCAGGGTGAACTCTGGGCTGAGGCTGGCGAGGGACCAGGCGCGAATCCAGAGGCGATGCGATGCGGCAGGAAGGGGTTTTGTCTCTTCCAGGGCGGCTCCCAGGGCTCTCTTCCTTTCCTGGATAATCTTTCGCCCCCCACTGGCCCCTAAGCGGGTCCTGCCTCCTCATGCAACACGTAAGCAGTGCTCAGGGCCTTCTCAACACCTTTGTCCTGCAAGGAGGGGGGAGGAGGGGCCAAGCTGTGTCCAGAAAACCCCCTGGACCCCCAGTCTTCAAGGAGTCCCTGAAAATTGGGCCGGCCAGGCAGAGCACCAGCTGGTGACTTGCAAACTGTTCATGTGCACAAGTAGGTTTTCTCGGCGGGAGCCCGGAGCCCTGCAGCACTGACGAGAACTGAAGATGGTTATATACAATTTATGTTTTAAAAAGGAAGTATTACTTAAAAAAGGGGGGGGGGGGCAAGAGCAAGAAAGAGCATAGAGCAAAAGAAAAAAAGAAAAAGAGGGAAAAGTAAAGAAAGAATACCCAGGCGCCCCCTCCCCCCAAGTTCCCAACTCTGGATGCTGCACTTAAATATTGCCCTAGGAAGGGTGGGTGTAGGGACGGCTCCGCCCGGCCTCACACTACTGGCAAAAGGGGGAGGCGGTGGGGTCAAAGCCTTTAAACACATCCTTCAGGGACCCCGCGTCCTGCTCGCCCTCTCGGGAGGGGCTGTTGCCAGCGAACGGGCTACTGGAGCCCGTCTTAGGCGCCTGCTTCACGGTCCCGAAGAGGGTGGGCACT